TGTGCTGGGAGCTATGGAGCTCAGTGCTGGCCGTGAAACCTCACCTGGCAGCCGGCCCTGAGGAGAGAGCGGTCCTGGGCCCCGCGGTGGGGTGGCAGTAGGTGTGTGGAAAACAAGAGTCGTTCCCTGGTTACCCCGGCCTCTGTTCATGGCATGGAGTGTTCCAGTCTTTTAGAATCTCGTGAATGGGGAAATTCCTGGAAGATGGTCCTTTTTGTTGTAGTACCACAGGATCACAGAGGGGTTGAGGTGGGAAGGAACCTCTGGAGGTATCTAGTCCAAGCCCCCTGCTTAAGCAGGGCCACCCAGAGCCAGTTGCCCAGGACCATGTCCAGGCGGCTTTTGAATATCGCTAAGGATGTAGACTCCACCACCTGCCTGGGCAACCTGTGCCAGGGCTCGGACACTCACAGCAAAAAAGTGTTTCCTGACGTTCAGACAGAGCCTCCTGTGTTTCAGTCTGTGCCCATTGCCCCTTGTCCTGTCACTGGGCACCACTGACAAGAGCCTGGCTCCGTCTTCTTTGCACCCTCCCTTCAGGTATTTATATATATTGATAAGATCCCCCTGAGCCTTCTCTAGGCTGAACAGTCCCAGCTCTCTCAGCCTTTCATCATAGAAGAGATGCTCCGGTCCCTCAGTCATCTTAGTGGGCCTTTGTTGGATTCTCTCCAGTATGTCCATGTCTCTCTTTGTACTGAGGAGCCCAGCACTGGACACAGCACTCCAGGTGTGGCCTCACCAGGGCTGAGTAGAGGGGAAGGATCACCTCCCTCAGCCTGCTGCCAATACTTTGCCTAATGCAGCCCAGGATGCCATTTCACCTTTGTGGCAGGTGCCCACTGCTGGGTTCAACTTGGTGTCCGCTAGGACCCCCAGGTCCTTTTCTGCAAAGCTGCTTTCTTGCTGGGTGGCCCCCAACATATGTTGGTGCCTGGGGTTGTTCCTCCCCAGGTGCAGGACTTTGCACTTCTTGTTGAACTTCATGAGGTTCCTGTCAGCCCATTTCTCCAGCCTGTCGAGGTCCCTCTGGATGGCAGCACGACCCCCTGGCGTATCAGCCACTCCTCCCAGTCTGGCGTCATCAGCAAACGTGCTGAGGGTACATTCTGCCCCATCATCCAGGTCATTAATGAAGATGTTAAACAGGACTGGACCCGATATAGACCCCTGGGTCACTACTGGCCTCCAACTAGACTTTGTGCCACTGATCACGTCCCTATGGGCCCGGCCGTTCAGGCAGGTTTCAATCCACCTCCCTGCTCATCCAGCCCGTACATTGACAGCTTCTCTGTGGGGAACTTAATGGGAGACAGTGTCAAAGGCCTTACTGAAGTAAGAACTTGCTGGTAAAAGTGTTTTGGGGGGGTTTAGAGTTTTAGGCTGTACAAAAACAAAGTAATAAGCTGCACAGTGTGGTGAGTCATCCATGTCGTAGTTGTGTGGGTGCCAGTGCACAAAGCTCTTGCGTGTGCTGCACAGTAGTTAAGAGACGTGATAAAACTTAGCTTAAAGGTTGCAGAATGGGCTATGTAAGTCTTGCTGTTTTCATGGTTATTATCTAAATTAGAAACGGTTCAGTAGGACAGTTTTTACACAAAATCAACCTCTTTTACTAACATACAGACTTCGTGGTCTTGAACTTAACATTTCTGAG